AGATAGATAGATAGATATAGAAAAATAGATAGATAGATAGATGTATTATGTTAAAATATTGCAGCATTATAGCAGGACGTGTGTAAAGAAGTGTAAGAAGAGCTCTGTATGAGATTTGATGATTCTTGAACATATGAGACTCTGCTGCTCCTTGGTGGCTCCGTCCACCATTGAACAAGAGCAATCTGGACTTCAACTATGTCTGGAATGCAGAGGCAGAATATGAGCCTGTATGATTGAGTTAAAGTAAATGGGTGCAGATATAGAGGTGGAGTTTGATGTGGGCGTCAGTGACCAGTAGCGGTCGATAAGCAGCGGAGCGACATGTGCCCTTTTAGGTTGATTGCTCTGCTGGATCGTGGACCATGTGTTCACTCACTGTGCATGAATGGAGACCTCACCCATCTCTGGTGTTACACATGATGCTCTCTCTCTCTCTCTCTCTCTCTCTCATCTGATGTTAACATTACTCAGGTGTCTCCCTCATCTGTAAAGTATTCTTTCAGTCGATCACTCTCTTAACACTCAGAAAGGCCTGATGTATCCTTGCTCTCGAATCTCAATGCTTTTTTAAATTGACATCTTTGTGTCTGTCTTCTACATGTACGGCTCCTCTTTTTCATCCTGAGATATCAATATTCTTCTAGTTTTTTTTTTCAGTTTTTGCGCCTGTCCCACGTTAAGAAACATCATCAACATACTCACTTGCTCGCAGTGAATTTTCTGGACATTTTCCTCTTTTATTCTCACACGGGATCAATTTGACATGTTCTGTGTTTCTAGTGCGATGAATAAAACTTCTTTACACGTCACCAAATGCAGAAAACAGAATGACAGGACACATTATCACCAATCTCCCCTCTCTCCCTGTCAGTGCATCCGAGTCAGTATACACTTTTTTTTCTGATAATCACCACCCTGGCAGCCATTTCCCAAATCATACTGTCATTTGAAACTGTCAGCTCCTCCCTCCCACAAGCCATTCTGGGGCTGTAGTTTCAAGTCAGCCCAATAATGACGGGTGAAATGACCTGTGCAATTAGCCAGTTACATGTGAGTCAAACTGAGCCCCCCCTTCCAGACAGATTCAATTGCAGATCAGCCCCCTGATTAGCCCTCGTGCCTTGCAAAGAGGGGAACGGACATCTGTTTGGTAAATTTGCTCCTTTGCAGGAACGTAATTTACCAGAGGCTGAGGTAAATTTCCATACAGTGAGGCAGGAGAGTTCTTTTGAGCTCTCAGTTAACTAATTTCTTGAAAACAAAAGTCGACAGGGCTACGGTTACAACTCATTTGGATGCTCAAATGGTTTTTGCATGTTCAGTGCAGTCTCAATACAATGTGGCTAACATGTGTGCTCACAGTGACACAAGCATGATTCACCATGAAACACTGCACTTGGGTGGATGTGCATGTATGCTTACACATCTGTATAAAAAATGTCTTTGGATGCATGTATGGTGTGTATGTATTTCGCATCAACATTGTTCATGAACTGCTGCAAAGTTTAAGTCCAAATTTGGCAGCATCAGTTGGAAAAAGGAAGGATTATGCTGGTAAAAAAGAAAGTTGGTGTGCAGCAGAGCAGACGTATACTTTATCCTCAGTAATCACTTTTAAAGAACAGTGGAAATTAAGGCTAAAGACTATGAACAACAAAGTTTTTAGTGGACAAAATCAGAAGACACTTGAATTTTCCTTTTACTTATTGTAATTCTTGCTCCAAATGTCATTTGAGAAATACAATTTGCTCTGGGAAACACTCTACAACATCTGAAAAAACTGCACATGTGCTTGCACATGTCCACATAAACAAACTGGACCTCGATCCATCTGAACTTTGAATCAAACAGGATCATGTGGTGTACATTATCATCTACCGTATATACGCTATTTGTTCTGCTTAACCCGATCAAAAAGTCTTAAAACATTACAGCTGTGTGTGCCGTCAGTTTTACCGTGCTGCAGAGTACAGTGAAATAAACAACTTTTAAGCACTCTTGGAAGGAAAGGACTTGACACGCAGGCCCAGTAAACTCCTCAGATCCCTTTCACTACGTCTCTCCTCTGCTTTCAATCATTAAATATTGTTTCGCGCAGTGCACATCCCTCCCTTGTTACGTTCTCTAAACAAGTTATGAGAAAGAGGAACAACATGATCTGACAGTGTCTTCTTCACAATCTTTCACTGAACACCGAGTATGGAGGAGGTGGATGCTGAGGTTCTTTGTTTCTTATTGTGTGTCTTATTGTTTTGTTTCATATGTTTAATTATATGTGTGGTAAGATGATCTATACAGTTTGTTGTCTTTCTCATCATAATTATATTACGAATAAATCCAAAAAAAAAATCCCAATGCAAAATGTATTCAAAGTCAGAAAATCATTTTGATATGACCTGACATGTATTTTAAAAGTTCTTTTGCACCTTTTATAATTCTAATGTTGATTGTTTGATTGATTGATAGATTGACTGATTGACATTTTAAACAATTGGTTCTTAACCTAACGAGTAAGACATTATGCCAATTTATTGGAATTAATGACAATGTAATGGACCAACACTTATCCTTACTTCGACATTATCTCATCTATAGGGAAGCAGAGGTGTTTAAATTAATCAGTGGTGAATATCAGTTCTGTTAAATATCATCTGCTCATAAAAGCACTGTGATTCTAAGTAGCAACGCAATCTCTGCAGTCTGTTTTGACTGGCTGATTGGAAACTCATTCCCCATCCAATATCAACCAAAGACGTGAAGCAGGATGTGGAACCTGGAGTGTTGTTAGTGGAAAGTGTGAAACTTCTCTCTCCTCTCCCTCTCAGTCATCGGAGCCTCTTTCATAACAAAACTCCTCTCTCCTCTCAACAATAACAGTCATGATTTTGGACTCTTGTTGCAGTCTTCATGGGTGGAGACTGAGGATGGACCGTGAGACGTCACCACCGCTCCCCATCTCTCCTGTCTGCCCTCTCTTTTCCTCCAGGCAGTCTGGATTGTGATGGTGAGTGGGGATGAGCAGGAGCCTGCGTGCGTCACGGTGTTGTGCAATAGAAACCGTGCGCACTGAATGAAACCCCCGGAGTGACGGGCTGTAAAGTGGGGATCATTTATTTTTGTCTTCCAAGCGTTGCTGGATCCAAACAATAACTTCAGGGGGAAGTTATTCTTTGCTCCTGGCTTTGGTTTCGTGCGCCCTGGATGTTGCGCCACGCCGCACAGACCTGTGTTTTTGCCAGCTGGCGTGTGACTGATACTTTACATTGAGCTTCACCGTTTCCAGCGACAAGAGCCCGAGCTGATGTGTTTCCTCTGCAGCTGTTAAACCTCTTCAACATGCGGTCGATCGTCGCTGTCGCCAGATGAGAAGTGTGGGTTTTGCGTCGCGCCATGTCCTTCTGTGGGACTGAGGTGGACCATGAAGTTATGGGATAGTCTGACCACTTGTTTGATTCTGCTGAGCGCCGTGCACGCCAGCCCGCTGCTCCGGAGCCAACGCCGGTCAGCGTCCGCCAAGAGGAGAGGGCGCGCCGCCGCCACCTCCTCCGAGAGTCCGCTGGAGCTCCCGCCGGTTCAGATCCGCCTGTCGGTCGCTTCCGCGGGCATCCGCCGCTCTGAGGCGGACACCGCGGACTGGAGGGAGACGCTGGCTGCTGGAGAGAAATGTAAGAGCCGGAGGATCCTGTTCCAAAACCAAACTGCATTCAGTGGACGGAGTCCTGAACTCTGTGAATGATCAATGTCCAATAGATAGAAACAAATACAATAGAAATGAAAGAAAATTGGAAACGTGGAACTGGCCAAGGATTGTCATTTAATTTAATAAAAACAATCTTACATTGAATTTGATAGAAAACAGCTCATTGAATTGGACATATATTATAGTGCAGCATCTAGTCATTGAGATATTGCAGTGATACCTTATTCTGACCATTACCCTCTCACCAATAAGACATCCTTCATTTAGAACAAGTGGTTTTTCATGTTATTTCTTTCATCATAGCTTTCTAACAGTGTGCACTACCCACGTAAAACATGCTTATAGTTTTTGACAGAACATTCAGAACACGCGTCCCAACATACATTTTATTTGTGCTCTTGATTAATCTGAGTTTTTAAAATGCCTTAATGCCAAAATGCCTGTTACAATTTCCCTAATGCTCAGAGTGGATTTTTTTTGTCCATCTTAATCCTACTCATATTGGAAAGTTTATTTGCCATGAGTGACTTAAAGATTGTTCATGTTGTTCTTCAGTTCCTCAATTTTCCTTTTCTTCCATTGATGGATTCTTTATTTTTACCTCTTGTGCCACAAAGCTTCATTTAAGCTGCTGCAGCTTCAGTGACGTCAATACAAACATACAGCTTTCTGGTGCATAGATAAGAACAGAATATATTTGTAACTTGGAGTTCAAAACACAAACAATGATAGTACCATGTAGTGTCATTGTATCGTTATTACATTTAGGCCAATATGATATTTATGAAGAGTACAATTCCTCTCAATGTGTTCCAGACACCATGGAGGAGCCCCTTCCAGGTGACTTTGAAGATTTGGTGGATTTCATCAAAGTGGCCATCGGTAGAAGACGTCGCTCGTCCACCTCCACCGTGTCCTCAACTACCTCTTCTTTCTCCACCACCTCCTCCCCCTCCAAAGAAAACTTGAGCGGCAGCATTCGGCACAGACGGGAGCGAAAGAAGGGGGCGAGCCAGCAGCAAGGTAAAGGAGGAAGAGGAGGAGCTAGAGGCGGAGAGACAGGCCGAAAGGTTAGAATAGGAGGCGGCAGAGGACAGGGCTGCGTGCTAAAACAGATCCACCTCAACGTGTCAGACCTGGGTCTGGGCTACCGCTCCGGCGAGGAAATGATATTCAGGTACTGCTCAGGACCCTGCAGGAAGTCCGAAACCAACTACGACAAAATCCTCTACAACCTCGCTCATAACAGACGGTTTCCTCCTAAGGACACACCCCCTCAGGCTTGTTGTCGGCCAATAGCGTTTGACGATGATCTCTCGTTTCTGGACGACAACCTTGTGTACCACACAGTGAAGAAGCACTCTGCCAGGAAATGTGGTTGTGTGTAGGGACCAAGAACTGGTCTGAGGCTTCATGTCATTTTACATTCGCTACCACTTTGAAGTTTGTAGTGTTTTTTTTCTCCCAAGACGTTTCACATTGTGAGGAACGTTCCTGGCCGAGTTCAACAGTAACTGAGGAGGGGAGGTGACATCTCTTCTGTTTCTATCCCAAAGCGATGACTCTTATTGATCCACGTCTTCTCAACCTCAGCCACAGCTCAATATCCACAACTTCTGTTACAGTCTAACCTCTCACATCACAAATGTGTTTGAAATGTTTTCTTTGAAAACTCAACCTAAAGGACTCAAACCAATCAAACAAAATGGATGATACAACAGACTCAATCCGTCTACTGTATAGCAACTTCACTATGTTACACGGACACACATTATGAAAAGTATTTATGAAATGTTGAATGTATTAATTTATTGATATTTATTTTGTTTTATAAAAGGAATAAATGCTATTTATTACTGTTATGTGATTTTTGTGAGTGTGCCAAAGCTTTATATTAAGTAATGTTTATTTCCATACACAGCAGTAAAAAGACCTGGGTGGTTTGAATTGCAAAACTAGAATAGTACTCCGCCAAGTACCACAGTCCCTTTAGGATTAAACAATTCTTATATCTAAGGCCACATTACATTATCTCAGCAGCACATGGTAGTTGCATGTTTATTAGGGGCTGCACAATACTGCACACTATTAAGATTTAGAAATGTTTGCCAGGTGATTATGTCAAAAAAACTGATTCGCAATGTTAAAGAAAGTGATGAAAACCAATTGTGGATCTGTGGCAAAATTGAATAGTTCTTTCTTTCCACGATACAAACAAAACCCACATTACTTGCAAGAAAACTTTCCTCAGTGTCCTACGTTTACAGTCTCTTATAATTTCAGTGACCTCTGAAAGCATTGCTTTCTGTTTGTTTAGTTACTGGGTGACTCAACCTGTAGCAAAACATTTTGTTCTAAAGATTAGAGGAAGAGTTGAGGATTTATGTTTCTCCTTTTAGATGAATTGCTGTGGTGCTGAGACAAGATTTCCTCAACTTAAAAACATAACTAAAGCATTATTTCCATACAGTGTTTACTTTTATGTTGTCTTGTTTAATTGTTAATAAATATTCTTACACAATGTAGTGTATTCATGTAGGAATCAATGTTTCAGCTTTTGTAGATGAGTTTTGGAAGAGAACCCATCCTGTTGTTAGAGATCTACCTTGCAACTATTGCCTGACATAACTAAAGCCCAGTTGGTAGAAGAAATCAATCATTGTATTTCAGTCACTTCTTGTGTAAAGGAGTGAGAGGAACAATAAACCAGAAATATAATGAGTCCTTTAAGAAGTGAGAGAAAACAGAAGGATGAAAAGAATCTGATGTTATGAAATGACAGGAACAGCCACTTGTCACAGGAGAGAATGGATTAGCACGGTAACATACATTATCTACAGTATGAGAACAGAAGGGAGATAAGACGGACAGTGAACGAGATTGAGGTCAAGTGTCAAAAGAAAACATGGAAGAATGAGCGAGGAGGTTTAGAGCTGAAGTGAACTGTATGTCTAAAGAGAGATAATGAAAAGACAGTCTGATTAAAAGGTGGCAGATATCCAGAGCAGACAATGATGTAGTAGAACACGAGAGGAGGAGTCTTGCTTTACTAATGCGTGTGGTCGATACATGATCCGTACCGACCTCTCTCACATTTCACAAGCCTTCCTCTCTGTAAGTCTCCTGAACGGTGAGTCAGAGCAGCCTGGCTCACCAACGACCGCAGTCAGGCTCAGAGCTGCATGGAGTTTGACAGTTGTGGGGTTTCATCGGTGGGCATGTTTAACTGTACTGTTCTGGCCTGAGGGCAAAGCGGAGAAAGTTGAAGTCGAGAGAAAATTTGAGTTTCTGTACTTGAAATGAGCAAATCGTCATGGTAACATTATAGGCAACCAGTTTCTTTGGCCCTAAAACTAGGTTCAGAGAAGAAAATGATCTTAAATTAGTGCCATATTTAATTTTAAGCTTGCTTGATTTTTGATCTGCTTGTAACTACTATAATTTCCAGTTTCCAGACACAGATAAATCAGTTGTACAGAGTTAAAAAGGCAAATGCATAAACATTGTTAAAATACTTCCCAAGCTTTGATATGGCCTCCAGATATGTAGTCTGGTTTTAGTTGAGTTGAGTTTAGCTTATTTTAGGTCATACGATATAAATACAAAAATACACAGATGAAATATTCAAATGTGTGTGGGTGTGTAAGAAAACCAGTAATGTCTTATAGGAAAACCACACCACAACATACAAATTCTTCAATACAGGATATATAAGAGAAATTGGTTATATATTATAACAGGGAACAATATGCTATATATACTGTATGAATAACAGAATCTAAAAGAGCTAATTTTCACTACAAATCAACAGTTTAAGCAACAGAGTAATATGTATACAATGTTTTTTAATAGTCTCAAAACGAGTTTGTCAGCTGCTGACAACAGAGGAAACCATTAGTGCTCCCTGACAGTCAGAGGATAGTGTCATTAGTCAGATGTGTCTTCTCCTCTTTTGTTCACCGTGTCAGAGGAGCTTGTAATGAAGGGTAATGTTCCACTGGAGTGTAACACAACACAAGTGTTAGCGGTTAAAGGGATGGTGTTAGAAACAGGTGCTAAATACTGACAGAACTGTACCTGTTGACACATTGATGTTCGTATTAAGAACTGTCATGGGTCAGTTCACAAAAATGTCAAAATATATATGTATATAATATTTTATGTCTTATCTGTAGCCTTGTAGATTAATTATAATGTCTTCACTGAGGTTTGGAGGTTCCATATAAAAGCAGTGAAAAATTACAAAAAAGTTCCACAGCAAAATCTATTTTCAGGACAAACGTCACTGTAGCGTTTTTATTGGGACAATTTTTACTGTTAAAAAGAAGTTGTTTTGAAAGAAAATGAGGTCTGTGAGTTTTCCAGAGTAACCAGGGCACATAGTGATGCAGAAACAAATTTCAATCACATCTACTGCGTCAGTGTCTCCATGTCTGTGCAGAAAGTGTTTTTCATCTGTTTAACGCAAATCTAATAGAACAGATACTTCAGTGCAGCTCTACAGGCTACAGGCTCACAATTTACTCACACTTATTTACACATTCCTACGCTTCAAGTCTGTTCATGTAACAACAAACGGTTTTGCATTGAGTGCAGCCAAAATGTAAATGATCTACATTGCAACTTAAAGCTGTGCCTCACATGCTGCTCACACCAGGAATTGACTGGAACTAAAAACCTGCCCTGGACGCTACCACATGCGAAACAACGGCACCACAATTTAGTTTCGCTTTACATCAGCCCAGAATGAGAAACCCTGAAGAAGGCTGGTGTGTAATCAAAGGGGGCTGAAGACGGGATACCTCCCAGTGGTCTTGAAGGCCAGTCCGACTATGGCACACACTATAGCTGCTTTCAGACAAACACTGGACTCCGCACTTCCTCCGTATTTTCTCAAGAGGAGGTGCATGTTGGAACGCAGATGTCAGAGTGACACGCTTGTTTTTTGTGTCTATTTTGCTCTTCTGGTGAAAGCAACGTTTGAAATATCCCTTTAAAACATACATTTAAAGGATACTTTATAAAATACTGAAGTACATATCTCAAGATGTGAGCTATATATTTACATGCCATATGACAATGCTACCATTTCTGTATTTGATTGTATGGTGTCGTATGTTTGTATTATGTGCTAAAAAATAAGTTCTGTCCAAAATGATATATATGAAGAGTTCCACTCCTCTCAGTGTGTTTTATATCGACCTTTTCCATATGATTATTTTCAGAGTATCGGACTCAGAGGCTTTTTGTTGTAGTAAATGAGGGGAGGGCAGACAAAATTCCCAAACCAATCTGGTGACACGGCTGTCAAAAGTCAACCTCTGACTTTTTGCCATCTTCCTGTGCCAGAGTTCACATCTCTGTGGTTGATACTTCAGTTTCTCATCATCCTGTTTAAAGCAGAGACCTGCTTGTTTACTAGAGGAAGTCATTGTTGAGCTATTGTCTACTCCCTTTATGTCGGCAGGCATGAGAAAAGATCCAAACGATAACCTAAATGTAATCACGGTTAAATATCAAAGATGTCATGGGTCCTCAAGACAGATTCGTCAAACCACAAGAAGCTCTTTGTGCCACTGCTCTGGAATCTGTCATCATGACTCAGGCTATATGACGAGGCAACCACAAAGGGAGAAAGGAGGAATCACAGATGACACACACACTGCAGCTACCACTTCAAGACGTACGTATGATGACAACATAATGCTGATCAAAAGTGTGTTTTCTGTTATCAAGAATCTCACAAATTTAAAAAACGTGAAAGTCATGAACAAAAATAGGAGTTTGGTTTGGTGCTTCAGCGATGAGGTCCTGCTATTTTAAAATACACGTCTGGAGAAAACACCTATATGTGATGGGATTTCTGCAGAAACAGGCCACAGTTGAGGAAACACTGCTGTGCTGTCATCACACTGGCTGCAACACAAAGCAGAAGCAGAGGGGATTAACATGGAGCTGTAACCGCACTGCACTGATCGTCTTCTTTATGGCCGATAGCCAATCCTCCAGTCTGGACCACCCGCCGCAGCCACACACACGGGGCTATCAGTCATCACTGGAGTGAACTGCAGCTGCAATGTACACTTAGTCTGGGCAGACAGCACAATCTTTAACATCAGTAGTGTGAGAAAACCCTCATATCACACACATGCACACATCACACACACACACAACTAAAAACCTGGATTTTGCTATTTAACTTGTAACTTTAATTTGAAGAGATAGTTATAGAGGTGAAACACACTGTGACACAAGAAGATCAAAAGGAATTGAGAAAAAAAATACTTGATTCTTCCATAATTATACCTGATTTACTGTATCTGATGATTTGATCTTCTGTTGTAACTTTAACACATGACATAATGCTGCAGGAGGAGGAAGTGGCGAGGGGCGTGAATGTAACACAATCACCTGGGTGTTGGTGTGTGAGAAGTGTGAGCTCAGATGTTGAAATATTCACTTGAAACCTGAGAACGTGCGTTGTTCTGCCTCCG